GGACATGATCAATTATTATTTTCCCGATTGTCGTTGAGCAAGCATTTTCCAAAATTACTTCTTGATTACTTATTTGCTATGAGCTATCTTGCTCGTGAATTTCGTTCGAATATACCATCAACCATCATTTTCACATCTGTACTTGAGCGAGTGTTCATTGTTTATAGTTTTACGTCAATTGTTCTTACGACTGCTGTTTCTTGTGAATGTTTTCAAAATTCTTTCGGAAAGTATTGGGTGAGTGCAAAAGTTCGTGCGGAGTTTCAATAGATGGAGTTATAAGCGTCGTAAAGTGTTGTCATTAATACTTCCATCTACTATATTATATAACGTTGGAAAGGTGACGTCTTCAGCTGTTATTAAAAAAAAATCATTTGTTTTCATACAAACTGCTTCGAGAAATATCACTTTAAAAATGAGTATCGATAAGGTGCATTTACGACATGTTATGCTTTACGAGTTTCGGAAGGGAATAAACGTTGCCGCAGCCGTAAAAAACATTCAGGATGTTTATCAGGATGAAGCACCAGCTAAACGAACTGTGGAAAAATGGTTTGCTAAATTTCGGCGCGGAGAATTTAACCTTGAAGACGAGCATATTTACTGCAAGTACTTTTCCATCATTTGTTCCTACGACTATTTTTTGTGTTAATTTCATTTAGGCTTGTACAATCATAAACTCTGCTTTCTATGAATTTACTTTGAATCTCTGTTATAATATTATGGAAGCATTGTTAATCTGTAAAATTTCATAATGTCATTAAACCCAAAAAATATTTTAAAGTTATTATGCCTCACTTTCGAGGACCCAGTGTACAATATAGAATCTAGAATAACAGATGAAGAAAGATCAATCGCTCCTCAACTTGCCGATTGCATAAAAGACGCTATCAATTTTGACATATTATATTTAAAGAGACTTATGATACTTTGAACTGTACTGATGCTAGTGTGATTCCTGATGCTATTTTAGTTGAAGACAATTCAGAAGATGTTTCGGAAGTTGTGCAAGACGATACAAAGGTCGATTTCAAGGTCGCCATCAAGTGCATCACTTTGAACTCTACAACTTTCGTCCTAAGTACTTTTTTCAGAAAATGTATCGTTTCAGAAATAATTAGCCATAACTGTTTCCACCTCCAGAAGTTGAGGGGTGCTTTCTACCCCTAAAAAGCGTATTTAGCCGAAACAAACAAACACGTATTTAATATTTTTCGGTGTTTAATAAGTATGTTAAGTTTCATTCAAATCGGTGAGTATCAGTTGGGTAGTGTTACTTGTGAGAGAAAGTGAGTCTGTTATAAATAAAAACGTACTGAGATGCAAATTGCTATGTAGCTAAAATGTGTACTTGTTAATAAATGTTTATTTACAAGTAAGGTAAAACTCACACGAACACATATGCAAATATATTTTTAGAGCACATAAACATCGACATAAATGCATAAATAACTGTAATATAACTATAAGAAAACGCTTTAACCCATTAATGCCCTCTGGGACAGAAATTTCGCTGCGAGAATCATAAAAAATGAGTATTGATTTATAACGGTTTTTTCCAAAAAATGCGATTTTTTCTCGTCAATTTTTTTTTAAATCATGGATTTCATCTTGATAAAAATGTTGAATATTACTGAAAAGTACTCCAATCGTGTCCTCAAGATTTGTACTTAAAATATATGTGGTTCTGAAATTTTTTGCAATTTAGTAATTTCAATATGGCGACCATATGTATGCATTACCATAGATATCGCTGGATTCTTGGAAACTCGGTCGAGTAACTCGTTATGAGTGCATTTTTATGAAAAATTATCTAAAATAAAAGTTGTCCTACCACGTGAAAGAACTCGATCAACAGAACAACTTCTGATTTCAGATCAACTGATTTCAGATCAACTGAAATCAACGCGAAATTTCTGTCCCAGCGGGCATTAATGGGTTAAGAAAACACTGAATGCCGATTTATATGTGGCTCTTATAAGAGCCTGCTCGGTTCTCTAAAGGTTAAGAGAGTTGTAACGTTTTCGCCGCGACTCGAGAGATCCAAGGATCGCGCGAGGAAGCAACACAGCTCTCCTCTCACAGAGATTGACGTTTCATTAGACTTTGTTTTTCATCGATACGGAGCTTGAGAATTATATATTCGTAGGGACAAACCCGACACACGAGAAATCGGAAACTCTCGCGCGGTTGACTTCTCTCGGCAATCTTGCCGCGGGCGGGCCGACCTCTCGAGTTTGCCCATTGGACCCCAAAATGAAAGATGATTCGCTGGAGTACACGCTGGAGTGCACGGAGAAAAGCCGTGAAACACGTTTTGCAGAACGACGTGAAAGGTTTTTCGGGAAGCAGCGTTTAGGGGAAGAACCTGCCGGCAAACGGACGGCACGACGGATTCGGGAATTTTTGGCCGAGTGCTTTTGAGCGAAAGCAAAGCCCGCCGACTCGAGGCGCCTCGTGTGAATCGATATTCCTCTCTTTCTCGCGTTCTCCGCCTTTTGCCGGCTGCCGCCGATTTGCTATAGCAGCCGTTCTGTTTACGGCGGACTCGGCTGCTGCTCGTATTCGTCATCGTTTGGCCGCGACCCAACTAAGCCAGCCACTGCCAAGGAATCCTGGGCCAGATTCTCCTTGGATATATTTTCGACTTTTTAACCCGCGAAATTTTCATCTCGCCGGCTGAGCGAGCGGAGATTCTCTCCCTCTTCCTGCACCCTCTCGCCGTCGCTCTTTCTCGAGCGCCGCGCGATTCGACGTCGCCGGAGATATCTCCTTCGGGTGTATTTTAGCTGCGAACGGCACGGCTCTATGGGCAAACGCTAATTAATTAAGTAGTTCGGCTAATGACTGTAACAAAGTGCTAATTCATTCGATACGTCGGTAATTCCAAGTGCGCTCCGTGCGCACCGCGTGCGCCGATGCACAAACACACTCTCTCACGCGTCTGATTCCCGTCACGATATATTTGCTTTGCGAAGTTGAACAGCGTGCAAAATGGCACTTACTAACGCGAACTTCATTACGGAGCGCGATATTTCATCGGCTCGATCGATGCGGGATTATCGACTAGTCAGTCGCCGCTGCGTCGGTTAACACAGGCGAGAAATTTACGTGCGGGAACTTTGCGCTCGAATTGCACAGGAAGCCTACCATTTCCTAACGGACAAAAGAAAAAAAGAAGTGAGAGAGGGAGGGGGAGGGGAGAGAGAGAGAAAAAAGAAAAGAAAAGGTCATTGCGAACGCGTCATTTTTCATCGCTTTTCCCGCGTCGGCTCGGGGGGAGGCTCGGGCAGCCCCTCCTCCTCCATAACCGAGGAGATGAGAAATTCGAGAAGAGCGGGGAAAACTTCCGCGAGCCGGAGTGGAATGTAAAAGAGCGCATTCACAGCAGTCTCGGCGAGGATCGGCCGAGTGAGCGAGTGAGTTGATGTTAATCCAATGGTCCTTACCCCTCCTCCCCCCGTCGGCGGCGCGCGTTCCTCGGATTCTCGGGACGTGTTCCCCCGCGCCGCCGACGGTGGAGAGCACCGTCGTTCCGTTGAGAAGGCGACGGAAAAACCGCGCACGGGGACCGTCGTCGTGCCTCTCCGCCTCCTCGGCCCGAAAGTTCATCAAGTAACGAGTCTCCCGCGGCGGCGAATGAAAGCTTCCCCCTCGCTCGTCGCGCGGCGGCTCAGCCGGCGCCGATTAAAGCGCGTTTGTTTCACAGCTTCGCGCTCACAGCCCCTCGGCTGTATTTCCAAGGGGAAGAAGACGCACACACACTGCGTGCGTCGAGAGAGAGAGAGAGAGAGAGAGGAGAGAGAGAGAGAGAGAGAGAGACGCGCATTGGAGATCGCGCGATTCGAGATCGCGAGCTCGCCGCGCGACGACGGCTCGTGTCTGTCGCGCGATAATCGAGCGGCGGAGGAAGCTGCGCGCCGATCGCGCTCATTAAGCGCCGCGGGTTTTCGAGGCTAATAAAGAAGTTACGCGGCGGCCGCGTGTCCGTTTTCGACTGATTGAACGATGCCGCCGCGGCGACGGCTTTTACGAGCGTGCTCCACGCCAACCAGCTGCCGCGGTTTCATTAATAAGTTTCTCTTTCGCGAGAATATCGCTTTAGCGTTCTCTGCTTCTCCTTGTCTCTCTCTCTCTCTCTCTCTCTCGCGCGCGCGTCCGCGCGCGAAAATGGGACGACAGCGCGAGCCTTCGCGTTTCGTGGCCGCGACAAACGACGTGGATACGCATCTGGCATCGTCACCATCGAGAGCGGTCGAAGCGGTGATTCGCTGCTGCTGGTGTGTCATACAGGGTGTTCCAAAATCATCGGTCGAGCTGATACCTCGGGACGAGACTCGGCCAGGGCGCCCTGAGGAGGATCGACCGTGCGCTTTTGCGTCACGCTACCCTGGACACCGGACTACCGAGATCTCGAAATTTTCCGATACTTAAACGCGGTTTTCAACGCGGGATATGTTCCAGGTTGAAAGTTTAAGGCGTCCTGGCATCACCTGGGGGATGCTCTTACCTCGATTGCCGGCGAGAGTCTATATAGAAATGGAGCCAAAGCGTGGTTTGCATACGTTGACACTCGGGCAATTGAGAGAGCAGATCCTCTCTCAAGTGCGCGACGTTGTGTGATAATCTCCCATTAGCTGAGCGATTATTTTTGTAGCGATTTATTTTGATCAGGCGTATCTTGTTTATATTACAGCGTGCGTGTAAACTTCTCCGGATGAAATATTTCGATCTCACGAGGTGGAAGAATGCTGTTCCAAGTTGTAGAGAGAAACGAGAATGGTGTCCCGCAGCCCGGGACCTCATCTCTCGGAAATACCCCCGAAGCACGCTGTTGCGTCCGCGACCTCGGGGAAGTTTACACCGCGCGCGCAGCGGTTACGTATATATGCACCTGTCGTATGATCTAACTCGTCGATAACTGGCCGACGTGACTGCGCATCGGCAAATGTCACCCAAGTGCCACCCTACAAGTGTATGTGTGCTCGTTCGTTTTCCAGGTTACGCACAAAGTGACGAGTCAGGTGATGGTGCTAAAGATGAATCAGCTGCCGGCGAACAGGCCGAACATGCTGAAGGAAGTTCAGCTGATGAACAAGCTCAGCCATCCGAACATACTCAGGTGAGTCCGGCGTGCCGGCGTATCGAGTCCGGTTCACTTTTGCCCGGAGAGAAACTACGCCGATCGAGGAAGAAAATCGCTCGGCCGTACGTGCCGAATTCGATGACGGCACGATGAAATTTCTACCCGCGCGCGCTCTCCTCTCCTCTCCTCTCAATCTCGCTCCGCCGTATCACGGGCAGCGGAGAGACATTAACCCTCTTTCGCGTGATTTATTTCGATACGATCGAATCTGATCGTTTCCTGTCGAAGATAAATGATACGTGGCATTATGCGCGTCGTGACCGCCACGGCAGAACTCCGGTTTATTAAAGCGCTGAGCTATGAGACGGCATGAGAAGGAGAGAGAGAGAGAGAGAGAGAGAGAGAGAGAGAGAGAGAGAGAGAGAGAGAGGGAGAGACGAATCGATACATTCTCGATGACAAGGTTTACCTCGTTGCGTTTTGAAAGACCGCGTCTCCCGGACGAGCCAGCGCGACGGGGAGGGTCGGGCTTCCCAAAACACTGTTTAGTTTGTCTGAGCAAAAAATTGCTAGGGCCATTTTCCTGAAGCGCAAGGCCCCGACAAGGCTGAAAGTAGAATGCCCTTAAAAGGGATGTCTCATTATTACCACCCTGAGATGGATCTTGTAGCGATACCTTGGATTTTAGAAGATAAGTCTTTGATAAGAAAAGCTGAGAAGGGTTTTAGAAGAATTTATTAGGGATTTTACGAAATAATGCTTTAACATGAAACACTGATGTGGGCCTTAGAAGGATCTTTTAAGAGGATGCTTTAGATATACAAAATCAAGTTTGTTATAGAAAATTGTTATAGATCTGTAATAAAATTGTCATAATTTAGTATTGTTTTAGTAGGTCCGCTCTACCTGGTTCTCTTAAAGATTTTTTAATTATACCGCAATTAGAAGCAAATTTTAGTTTTTTATTAGTTGTCATATTTATTAATCTCTTCCAAAGGATCTTTCTAGTATTGCCATTGTTTTGAAATGCAGTAAACTTTAATAAAAACAGTAGCAGGATTTTTATGTATAAAAGATACTATATTTTATTGTAAAATATGCAATACTTTTAAAATAAAAGATTCTTGTTGCATACTAACAAGATTATAAAGAAATAAAGAAATTACAGTCTAAATTATCGGAATGAAAAGAACGAATATTTTTACTCAAGCAATAATAAAAATATTGTCTTATAAAGCCCTCATTATATAATGTTGCCTTATAAGGATCCGTTAAACCATTTGTTACACATCTTGTAGGGTCCTTGTCTTTCTATCTTTATTAGGACCTGATTAATATTAGGGAAAAATAATCAGGCCCTTACTAGAGCCCTATTAATATTTCTCTCTTGGGTGGTTATCGACTTTTTTTAGCTACACCTGTGCGTTTCGTATCGTGCAATAATCGAGACTGTGAAATAGTCACACGCGTGAGATGCTGATGTGTCGGAGCAACCGCTCGATTTCTCAAGAGTTCTGAGATTTATCGCGACGCTTTGTTACGGAATTCGGCAGTTTGTGTAAATATGTGTGTGCGCTGCGCACACTTTATCCTGTGCCTTGTCGCAAATCAATTTAAAGACTTCTTTTCCTCGCGTGCCTCGGCATAATTCTGGCGCAAGGTCTTCGTATTAAGCGATCTCGCCGCGTGTTGACTGAACACGTGGCCAGCCGCGATGACGACGACGACAATCGGTAAATTATGTTATTCGGCTCGCGAACGTGAATGTGTGTGTGTGTGTGTGTGTGTGTGGGCACGTGTCGTGTACAACTTCATTGAAAAATCTTCGACTCGCGTTGGAGAATGTGTTCTGCTTTATATATATATATTCGACTCATCATCTCGCGCGAGATTATATCGTTGAAATTTCTCTCGCTTGGAGGATCGCTAAAATGACGGAAAGATTAGAAAAAAAAAAACGGTATTACACTTTAACCACGCTCGTTACGAATTACGACATAATACATCGCCTAGCGGTAACGGCGGTTAACTCGGCGCATTGCACCCGTTGCGAAAATTCCTGTTTGCTGCACAGTAGAGAGTAAAATCCGAGGCGCAGGATGCATAACGCGCGATGAGGCATCTTTCGGTCCACGGCTTCGGCCGCACGGAAATCCAATTTGCGGCTGAAGCTCGGCTCCCGTGCACGTGCATACAAATTCGTGCGCGTTATCCGATTTTTCTCTTATGCGTCAGGAATTGCGTTTTTTATATACTTTCTTTTCAAATTTCTTTTTCATCCATTTTATTTATTTATTTCATTTTTCAACTTTTTTTTCCACTTTTAGCTTCAGCCAAAAATTCCGCTAAATTCACCGAAGTTGAGATTGATACGACGAGTCAAGTTCGATTTTAATCAAATAACAAATGATATACCTCTGTCCCTCCTCTCTCTCTTTCTCTCTCTCTCTCTCTCTCTCTTTGTCTCTCTCTCTCTCTCTCTCTCTCTCTCTCTCGCTCCGCCTTTTTAGGGGAGAATTACATGCGAAAGGCCGTTTTCGAAGCTATTTTTACGAATTCTTTTAACAGAAACAGTAAGATCAATGAACTTGAAATTTTCACAGTATGTTCATTAATGTCCAAAGTATAAAATAAATTTTATTGAATTACAAGAACCGATTCAATTTGTAATTATAGATAAAAATGCAATTATCCGTTTGCGAATTCTATGTTTGCTATGTCGATATAATTCCGGGCTTCTCACTACTCTGAAACCGAAAAGTGAGAAAGATTTTTAAAATATACGTCATTATTAAAATATTGTCATTATAGCCCGTATTAAAATAAAGGCAGTGAAGCCAAGTTTGGAAAAATAATGACTGTACAAAAAAAAGTATCGGAAATGAAACTTTTTTCAACTTGTAATCATGTTAAAAAAAATGAATAAAATAAAATATAAATATGTTCGAGGTGGGGCCGCGAAAGCTACATGTCTACTGTATATTGTGTAAAAATTTCATGTTATTCGGTTCAGTAGTTTTTGCATAATCGTGTTAACCGTTTAAGAAAATGGTGTTTCCAGGTAAATGCGTTTAAAGTTTTACGTGTACTTTCCATATAGATAGTAACAAATTTATTTTACACTTTGAACATCAATGAATACATTATGAAAATTTCAAGTCCATTGATCCTACTGTTTCTGTTAAAAAAATTCGTGATAATAGCCTTGAGAACGGCTTGCTCCGCATGTAATTCTCCCCTTTAGAGAGCTTCGTCTCGCAGAAGCAGAAGAGTGCTCATTGGCCGGCTGTCGGGAAATTTTTAACATGCGTTTCCCTGGAGCGAGTTGAAACGAAATCTGGCAACGCGTCCGAGTCTCGCGTCTGCTTTCCGCCAAATCTGGAACACGCTTTATCTCCACGAATAGCTCGCGCGAGATCCGCGGCTCTCGCGATGCTCGCGAGCGGACTCGCGCGCTTTCGGCGCGGCGCACAGAATCGTTGCAGAAATCGCTAAACGTGATCAAAATAGGAAAAAATAAAAAGCCAAATTTTCGGCTGCCGTTTTCAGTATATTTTCTAAAAGGTCCAAATTAATAAGTTGTAGTAACATTTTGATGAAATCCAATTGTATCACGAAGATAAGTGAATTCAAATGTACACGTGATGCGAAGTACAGAATAGCTGGGTTATAACCCTCCAAATGATATAATTGATTTTGCGTTGAAACAATTTTTTATCATGAAAATGATGTTCCCTGTCTAATATCTCATCTGTGTAGTTTTATTTCCAATAAAGAGTATATTAGAAAGTTATAAGTATATACAATAAAAATTAGATTTACAGGACTCACTTTTAATATACAGTTAATCACTTATATCGTGATATATAAAAAATGCATCATTTCGCACCATGTTGTAACTTTGTGAAAATAAAGATAAAATATCTATTAATCCTTATGCAAAGGTAGAAAGAGCGATATCCAGCGCTTATAAAAATATGAGAAATTTTATGAGCAGAGTTTGTGACAGTCTACCGCGGGTAATATTGTTCAACACAAAAATCATATCCTCTATCAAAATTCTTTATTCTAGTTAATTTTGCTACTGTTAACTACAAATATAATAATTAACGATAATGTTTAAGCTCTAATTAAATAATGTAGTAAACAATAGTAAAAATAAAGACTGTAGAGATATGGGAGAGTATCATACAAGAAAAACTCAAGAATTGCGACGAACGAAGATTTATTTAAAAGACTTCTTCTTTCCTCAGATCCCATCAGTTTGTCTTTAGAAAAAGTTTCAGACAAAAAAACCGATCTCCTCCCTAAAGCAGTTATTGAATTGCTTGCAAATCCAGTTGTAGCAAATTAATAGTTTCGAACGATGAATAGTTACATTAAATATTTTGTCTAGTCAATAGTTGTATGAAGTAGAAAGCGAAAGATAAAGACTAAAGAAGAAAATAAAAAATAAAAAATAAAAAAAGGTAAAAAAAAGACAGAAAAGTAAAAAATAAAATTAGAAAACATGTTATTTTAGTGATAAAGTACTAGTATTTGCAATATAGTATGCCTTTCATTCAACTATAGTACGTTATAGCGACAATTGATTTATGGCCACTACTTGGAGGTTTCGCAACACTGTGCGTGCGCCCGGCGGAAAATTCACGCGCGACTTCCTACCCCCTCGGTTTTTCCCCAGGGTTGTCTTACTCTTTTCTTCGCTCATATACAACGCCTCTCTCTCTCTCACACAGTTATGACATAACGCGACGCGTTCGACGGGACGTTCGCCGTGGCGCGTCCCGTCGCGTCCGCTACGACAACGCATTCCGACGATATAAACGGCTTGGCCCAGATTCGGATACGGTGTTTACCCGTACCGTCGTGGACCTAGCGGATCTTATTTCTGGCATTTCCTTGCGCGAAAGCCTCCGCGAAAATCGCGGGTTCCCCCCCCTCTCTCTCTCTCTCTGTCTGCCTCTCTTTCTCGTCAGGATCCTCGCGCATCTGCTGACTCAGCCGTAAAAATAGTAGTTATCTCGGCTTTACTC